GGCGTTGATTATGATGATTTGAGCTTTTCTCTACTGATTACTCCGGAGGTGAACCACTTGGATGTATCAAATTGGATGCTTGATTCCGGCGCTACCTATCATATGACCTTTAGGCGAGATTGGTTTGCATCTTTTGAGAAGCTCAATGGGGGGAGTTGTAGTCATGGGAAATGATCAGTCCTGTGGTATTTGTGGGATAGGCACTGTGCGGATCCGGATGCACGATGGAGTAGTTCGTGAATTAAAAGAGGTGAAATTTGTTCCTTAGCTAAAGAAGAATTTTATCTCAGTTGGAGCTTTGGAGGCAAAAGGATTCAAGGTGACCTTTGTAGATGCTGTAGCGAAGGTTACTAAGGGATCTTTAGTGGTAATGAAGGGAGTCTGCAGTTAAAATTTATACTATCTGAAGGGGAGCACCGAGATTGACTAGGTTGCTTCAGCTATTTCAGAGGCGGACATGAGCAGGCTTTGGCATTATAGTTTGGGGCACACATGAGAGAAGTCACTGCAGGCACTGTGCAAGTAGGGGCTATTGAAAGGAGCCAAGAGTGGTAAAGTGGAGTTCTGTGAGTACTGTGTGCTTGGTAAAAAGACGAAGGTGAAGTTCGGGACAATCATTCATCAGACGAGGGGCATTCTAGACTATGTGCACACAGACATTTGGGGTCCCACCAAGACTGCATCACTTGGTGGTCGACATTGGTTCGTCACGTTCGTTAATGACTATTCTAGACGATATTGGGTGTACACCATGGCAAAAAAGAGTGAAGTCCTAGATATATTTATGGAGTGGAAGAAGAGGTTGGAACTGCAGACTGGAAGAAAGATCAAGACGTTGCGATCCGACAACGGCGGCGAGTACACATCAGACCCCTTTCTGCAGCTATGTCGAGACGAGGGCATAGAGAGGCACTTCACGGTTAGTCATACACCGCAGCAGAATGAGGGTAGCAGAGAGATTAAATCGGTCTTTACTGGAGAAGGTCTGATGCTTATTATCGCAAAGTGGTTTGAAGAAAATCTTTTGGGCTGAGGCACTTACATATGCGAGCCACCTCATTAATAGGTTGCCTTCATCTGTGATTGAGGGGAATACCCCTATGGAGAAGTGGTCGGAAGAGGGAGAGCAAGCACACGACTATGACCAGCTCAAGGTATCTGGGTGCCCTGCATTTTATCATATGAGAACAGATAAATTAGAACCTCGAGCTAGGAAGGCCATATTTGTAGGATTCAAGCGTGGTGTGAAGGGATACAAGCTATGAGATCCAGTTGATAGGAAGATTATGTTGAGTAGGGACGTCACATTCGATGAGGCGTCTATCTTGAAGCTTCCCAGCTCTCATCAGGTGGAGAGCGACCCGACGAAGGAGATATCTCAGGTGGTGGAGATCAATGCAGTTCTACAGTGTCTAGATGGTACAGTATCCATTAGAGTGCCGACTAAGGTGACGTTAGGCAAGCACGATGGTGATACGGAGAATACGGGTACTGATGTGTAGGATCAGGGACCGACGACTCAGGTTCAGGATTTTATTACGGTTCGGAGACAGAGAAGAGACATACGAATGCCAGCATGGTATGCCGACACAGTTGCGTATGCACTTCCGGTAGAGAGTATCGATGAGATGGTGCCTACTATATTCAGAGAGGCCGAGCAGAGTTCGGAGGTTGATTCGTGGAAGGTAGCTATGCAAGAGGAGATGGAGTCTCTTTACAAGAATGATACGTGGGAGCTTGTTGAGCTTCCAAAGGGGCGGAAGGTAATTGGTTTCAAGTGGATATACACGAAGAAGGAGGGCATTGAGGGCACTCCATTGAGGTTCAAAGCTAGGTTAGTTGCGAAGGGCTATGCACAGGAGGTAGGTATTAACTATAATGAGGTTTTCTCTCCGGTGGTGAAGCACTCGTTGATTCGGATTTTGCTAGTTTTAGTGGCACAGTATGGATTGGAATTAGATCAGTTGGATGTGAAGACGATATTTCTTCATGGTGATCTTGATGAAGAAATATATATGACTCAGCCATTGGGATTTTGAGCTGCAGGGAAGAAAAAATTGGTTTGCAGATTGAAGAAATCGCTATACGGTTTAAAGCAGTCTCCTCAACATTGCTATAGGTGATTCGATAGTTTTATGATTGGTCATTCGTACACTCGGAGCCAGTTTGATCCTTGCGTATATTTTCGCAAGTTGAAAGGAGATGCGTACATCTATTTATTACTTTATGTCGATGACATGTTGGTTACCTCTATTTCCAGATCTGCTATAGATGAGTTGAAGGCACAACTTTCAAAAGAGTTTGAGATGAAGGATTTGGGTGAGACGAAACGCATTTTAGAGATGGAGATCGGCAAAAACAAGAAAAGGGGCAAAATTTGTTTGACGCAAGTGACTTATTTAAAGAAAGTTCTATAGCGATTTCATGTTAGCATGGATACAAAGCCAGTTAGTGTACCATTGGGAGCCCATTTGAAGCTTTCAGCTGATCTTTCACCGAAGACAGTTGAAGATCGAGAGTTGATGTCGAATACTCCATATGCGAGCGTGGTTGGGAGATTGATGTATGCGATGGTATGTACGAGACCAGATTTGTCACCTGCAGTGAGCATGGTTTCGAGATACATGCACGATCTAGGAGTGGGTCATTGGGACGCCGTGAGATGGATTTTGAGGTACATTCGAGGTACGCTCAATGTTAGTTTGGTTTATGAGAGGGACATTACAGGTGGGCAGTTATGCATTGGTTATATTGATTCGAATTATGCCGGGGATTTGGATAAGCGCCGGTCTACGACGGGGTATGTGTTTACTTTGACCCGTGCGCCGATGTGTTGGAGATGCACCTTACAGTCGACGGTGGCTTTGTCTATGACAGAGGTAGAGTATATGGTGATTACAGAGGCTGTGAAGGAGGCTATTTGGCTTCGAGGATTTTTGGAGGAACTTGGTATATCGCAGCGGTCTGTCACTATTCATTATGATAGAATGAGTGTTATCTATTTGGCGAAGAATCAGGTTTTTCATACGAGGAAGAAGCATATTGACGTTCGTTATCACTTCGTTCGAGATGGTCTTGAAGATGGCAATGTGGAGATTGTGAAAGTCCACATGAAGGATAATCCGGCAGATATGCTCACAAAGGTGGTTCCGAACAACAAGTTTGATCATTATCGAAACTTGTTGCACATTCGTGATTGTTGAGACCGTTGGCGACCATTTGGATGAACTACGGGCGGGTTGATCCCTTGGGAGAGGGGGTACGTAGGCAACCACATTGGTATAGCTGAATTTGGTGAGACGACGCATTGGTGTTCATGTTGGTGTCGGCTCAGTTTTGGGAATACTTCGCCGAAGTGGAGAATTGTTGGATAGTAGTGTTCCTAATCTATTTTGGTAACATGAGGTTATTAGGATTCCTAATCTATTTTGGTAACATAAGGTTATTATGATTCCTAATTTGTTTTGTTTTTGGTTTTAGGATTCCTAGTTTGTTTTGATTTTAGTTTTTCTATATATATGGAGATTAGAATCAATCATCAAAAAGAGGGGAGAGTTGTAATCAGAGATTAGAGAGACTTTTGAGCATTGTGAGAGGGAGATATTGTGAGCAAGTTGAGAGCTTTGGTTGAGAGTTAGTTTATGAGTTTTGTGAGATTGTAACCCTTTGTACTCTCATTGATTTAGTGGAATCTCCTCATCCTCTCCCCGTAGACGTAGGCAAATTGTCGAACCACGTAAAATTAGTTTGTCTCGCTTTTGTGTGATTTGTAATAGCTTATTTAGGTTCCCTCGACAGGTCAGTCCTAGAACTGATAAGAGGAAGAGCTAATATCTCACTTGGTTGAGATATTTTGCTTAAGGTTCTTGTTTCCTTTGTGAAACATGATTTCCTATTACGACCTGACTTTCTTGTTGTGCTGCCGAGGTGCTGTCGAAATTTCCGATACGCGCAACAAAAACCACAGAGGTGTCTATAAATGTGGCTCCAATTACTAGAGAGACAATGATAAGGTCCACAAGTATGGAATACCTTCTGATGATTGCTTTGCGCATTTGGAAAGTCAGTTCAGATTCTTGAAGCTATCTCAAGAAGTAGAAGGGGTTTTAGGTCGCACATATCGTCCAGGGTTTGAGAATCCAGCAGAACCTGGGGTAGAAGAGCCCGTTGTTGGTGGTGAGGACAAATATCGGACTACGTCCCTACTATCTTCAGACTGCAAGATGCGTCTATTCTCTCCTGAAGCAGATGGCTAGATGGTGGTGCATTAGTTGTATCAAACAATATTGTTGACGTATGGATTGGTTTGAAATGTATGCATTAGGTTTGATCAAATAAATGACTTCTATGATGTATTTTTCTTTTTTCAAGAATCATAACAGCTAAGAAAGCAAGATGGTTTTGATTGTATATAATGGTGTCCTGTGAGTGTTTTAGATCAAGCATTATGATGAAACAGTCCAATCTCAAGCTACGAGTGTGCAGATAGCAAAGGAGGTGCTAGAGTACCAAAATCAAATTGGAATTTGAAATCCAAGCCTAAGATATTTGTTGCTTAAGTTCTACAAAACACGCTAGATATTGTTTTCTTCAAACAAGTCATACATAGATTACATATTATTACTGAGAAGGAGTCACTTTCAGCAAAGGTGCTCAAATTTGTCTAGAGGTGTAAATGGGAAGGAGAGGGGGGGAAAAGTTAATATAGTATAAGCATAGGTAGATAATTACATGTACATCTTGTGTAAAAACAATTACAACTTAGGAAGAGAAAGATATCTGAGAGCAATTAATTCTTTGAAAATTCCTCATTATAACTAAGCATTAAAAAAATCAAACTTTATCACAAGATAGAAACACAACATTCAATTAATTGCAAAGGGAAATTGCAGTAAAAAAAATGGACGCCACACTTCCTTCTGATCCCACCATATAATAAAGAGAGAAATTTTCATCTTTGTAAACCTGCAAGCCAATTATCCTTAGCATTCAGAGAACTCTATCGAAAAAAAAAGTGAATTTCACTTGAATTTGTAAGTCATATAACTTGAACAAATAACGCTATTGAGCTCACACCCGCAAATTAAATACACTATATTATACAAACATAAATCCAAATTAATTACCGCATAGATAGTAAAAGAACAGAAAGGACCTCAAAGTCGCTGAGAATTCCTTAATTTAAAAAAAAATCCATCTCCTCATCTCCCTCGAGGATTCACGAGCTGAGAAAACACAGCACTAGTAGCCACATCTTCAGCATCATCATCAGTACCAGAGTTCACCCCCTCGACCATACTCACACTGTTATCGAAAGGCTCAAGCGGAGGCAATAAAATATTCGGAATGCTCTTCATGCTATTATCATCAGGATCAGCAAGCGATGATGTCTCGTCGAGCTGAAGAGCGTACTCAAGATTCCACAGCACATCTCCCATTGATGGCCTGTCAACCCCAGTCTCAGCCAAGCATTTCTCCGCGGTGTCTCCGTATTTTTTAAGCGATGCAGGATTAATTCTCCCCGCCAAATTTGCATCCACAATTTGCTCAAGCATCCCCTTTTTCTGCCAGTTCATCGCCCACTCTGCTATGTTCACTTGTTCTCTAGGTAAAACTGGATTGAGCGCCGGTCTTGCACATAAAACTTCCATTAGAACGACGCCAAAGGAGTAAACATCAGACTTCTCAGTCAGTTGTTGTCTTCGAAAGTACTCAGGATCCAGATAGCCAAAGCTACCTTTGACAGCTGTGCTAACATGAGTCTGATCCAATGCTGGCCCAGTTTTTGACAAACCAAAGTCGGCAACTTTGGCAACGAAGCTCTCATCAAGCAAAATGTTGGTGGTCTTCACATCACGATGAATTATACTTTGAGCTGCTCCAGTGTGGAGATAATGAAGACCCCTCGCAGCTCCAATGCATATCTCAAGCCGCTGCCTCCATGAGAGTGACGGTAGGTTCGCTCCATAGAGATGGCTTCTCAAAGGTCCATTCGCCATGTATTCATACACCAAAATCATCTCGGATCTTTCCTCACAGTAGCCAATTAGTGAAACTAAATGTCGGTGACGAAGTTTGGACAGCATCTCGATTTCAGTGTGGAACTCAGTTAGACCTTGCTCAGATCTTGGATTTCCTCTTTTCACGGCGACTTTAGTGCCATCTTCTAATGTTCCCTTGTAAACCTTCCCGAAGCCACCGACACCGAGAAGCAAGCTCTCATCGAATTTGTTGGTCGCATCCATGATTTCTTGGAATGTGAAGACTCGGCCGAGGTTTGTAGAGGCCAAAGAGATGCAACTCGCGGTTCCACTTCGAGTAGAAACTTTGCTCATGGTGTGAGAGTTTCCATACAGAGGAAGAGGTAGCCAAGACTGAGTATGAGTACTATTAGCCTTCGACCTCCGACCCATAAAACAACAGTAGCACAAAATTATAAGTCCAATGGCACCTATAGCTCCCACAACCGATCCAATTATGATACCCAGCTTCTTCTTCTTCGATGCTGACTCTGGAAGAAGATCGTCAACAGAGTTCAGCCCATCAAAGCTCTTAACTCCATTGCTAATCTTCATCACCTCGAGGCCATTCAAGATCGCATTGCTGAAATCTGCCATTGAATCAGGCCCAACACTAACAGTCAAAGTATTTGTACCATTCGATGAATTCGAAACAAAATCCTTGTAGTATGGCACGGATAATTCCCCCTTGAGAGACGAAAGATCCAGACTCGCAATCGCCATATTAGAATTAACATACACATTGAAGACCAATGTGTTGAGAGCCTTACTGATTATATCACAGAAATGGAACCTGATCAAGTATTGAAAGCTCGAATCTACAGATAAAACCCAGGTCATGTTGAAGGTCAAATCGGTGACATTTGCATCCCCCATGGCATCGGCAGTTGCATAAACCCATTTAGGGGCTACTTCCTCAGTCAAGTCCTGCGGATAATTGATCGTTAGAGGATCAACCGAGACGTTTGCAGCTGAGCTGTTGACATGCAGATACTTGCCATCATTCTCCCAATTTCTTCCAAGCGAGTCATTGTTGGATGTGAGTAAAGGACCACCCACATTTAATCGATACATAGTCTCTAGACCGAGCACAGAGAGGCCAGTAAAAGGGGCATTCGGAACTGCAAGGGCTTGATCATAGATCAGTTCATCAGGGACTGAAACGACCTCGATCGCGTTAACGAAAGACACAGAGCCATTTGTAGGAATGAAGCTTAGGACCAAAGAGTCAGAGGTGACATTGACAGAGTACTCCTTGAATAGGTAAGTATAGTTGGTATTTTTGAAGGTGAAGTTGTTCAAGAGGACGAAATCATCGGTTAAGACCGTCAGCGGAGAAGAAGCGAGGTCACGGTCGCCGGAATTTGGAAGGGGGCAGAAGTAGAGACGGATCCAATGGCGGCCGGCTTGATGGATATCGAACTTGTAATGCGCGGGTTTCGGGAAAATTCGAAGAGATTGGTAAATTGGAGACGGGAGAGAGGAGCTGGGAGTGGAGATTGCATTGTCTCCTGAAGTTTTTAGAGAGAATGAGGATTGATGGGAATCAGGGAGGAAATTTTTACCTTGAACTGAGACATTTTGGGAGGATCCACAAGCAATCAGATAGTTATCAATGGGGGTGAATGCAGCAAAAGAGAGATCAAACAAAACTGAAAGAAAGAGAAATGCGCATCTCAATAATCTCAACTTCTCCATCTTAAGACACCAAACTCAAATGAATAGAGAACAAATTCAAAGATCCAAACTTTTAGATCATAGTCACTGAACTCTCAAAAATTGTAAAAACCCAAGGTATGAAATCCCCACCAGAAGTTTCTCAGAAAAAGAATCAACAGAGCCCAAATCAGTAAATTGGATCAAGATGGAAACTTTGAGACAAAATCTACCTCAGCTCGAAAAACCCAGATGAGATCTTCTGGTTTGGGTTCCAGATCAAAACCAGCAGAGCTTCATTCCTGGGTTTCTTCCTCTCTTCTAGTTCTAGCTTGTGTTCTTCTTCCTTCTCTTTTCCAGCCTGTGGATTAGCCTGTCAATGTACGGAGAGGAGAAGGACCCACATCAGAAATATTCTTAATTAAACAATGATGATGATAAGAATAGAAATAAAGAGAGAGAGAGAGAGAGAGAGAGAGAGGGGGGTAAAATAATTACGAAGTTGTGGATCGAATACAGGTGAAGAAACAGCTGTGGAATTAATTGATTAATGAATCTTTGCAGCCATGAAAGCTCTGCCCTCTGCAACTGAGAAAGCTTTGTAAAGGTAGCAGCTCATGTGGGTTCTCTCTTGATTCTTCAATTTAATTTAATGCCGTTGTCCTCATTTTATCGGATCAATATATTACTAATTAATTAATTTAAATAAATTGAGAAAACGGTGATGAAAGGGATTGGAGTGTGTTTAAGCTTGCAAGGGGACCAACTAACGGTCCTTTTTTCGAGTACTTTACGCGGTTTCATGTTCATTAACGGTACCAGATGGTGGATGTTACTAATTACCATCGTGTTAAAAGGAGAGAGGGAGTCTGAGTGTAAATTTTCCTTAGTATTATATATACTAGTATTTAGACCCGTGCAAAGCACGGTTTCTAAAATATTTTCTGCAAATATTGAATATGTTATCAAAATAAAGTATTCTGCTTTAGATATAAAGTATAGGGGTGCTATTTGCTTTTTTTTATTATTCGTTCAGATATTTGATCAAGTTTGATTCATAGTTCATTTAGTACTAAACAAATAATTTTCAGTGTTTGGCTTATAAATGAATAGAATTTAACCAAATGTACGTTTGATTCGGTAGTTCATTAACTATTCGATTCGATAACTTTTTAATAGAATTTAACCAAATGTATGTTCAAAAGTTCATTAACTGTTCAATTCGGTAGTCCTATTAATTGAACTTATTGCAAATATTACTTATATAAATTTTTATTTACAAATGATACCCGTATAAATAGGTAAGAGTGGGTTCTAGGGCTAGGGAAGTTAAAATGTTTAAGTTCAAGAAGTGGAGTAAGTCAATTGTGTGGAAAATTGAGCAAATATTTACTAAATTATACAGAAAAACCTCTATTCCTCTTCGCGGTCTGATCTTCAGATCCTAATTAGGATCACGTGCTTATTAGTAATTAAAAGTAAGCTAAATATAAATCTATCGTACCATATGAAAAAGGGGGCAGTTGGCACAGAGATCATCTAGAAGCTTGTTGACATACTGTGAAGTTGAACATTCGGATTCCTGTGTCCAATACGCTTTTTAAGGCCTCTAACGACCTCCTTGGCTAGTTTGTTTTACATAAAGCAGGTAAGAACTAAAACGTAAGGCAAAACCAGAAGTGATCTATTTAGTCCAGATAGACATATGGAGGCATTTGTTTTGCCAAAATATAGAAGGAAAAGAAAATTCATGTTTATGGACAAAGATTTGACTGGGTGAATGCACTCTTCACGTTTTTTAATTGCTCTTTGACTGATAGAATACAATCGTGATCACCAAGCTAGTTTGTATACAAATATTTAACTGCATGATAGATTATGTGCTATATATTTTCCTTTTAGCACGCTTTTGAGGTTTTATAATCAAGAGCGAGTATAGGCTGAAACTAAGATAATCAATAACTAAAGTGAAACATCTAACACTTTCCTATATTTATATTTAATCACTGAGGATATTAAGTACTCTGTTGCCAGAATATGTAAGGGAAAGTATCTGCCTACATTTTCACTCAATAGGAAAGACAAGAAAATACAACTGGGATAAATCAAGAAATTGATGCTATACATGGATTAGATTATTCTATATGAAGCGAGAACTGAGGTAGTTTATTTACAATCATGGAAGTAACTGGTAGGAGATGGAACCGAAGTGGCACTGTTATTTTCTAAATTCACGTAGATTTGTTTTTCCATCCGATTTAACTCTTAAATGTTATCTTAGACCAAAAAAAGAAATACATATCACATATAACAGATTTTCTCATCATTATTTTATTTTACGCTTCAATAAAAAATTTTATCATCTGCTTCAATAAACATTTTATTTTTTTTCACATTTGTATCCAAATATCTGTGCTTCAAAGCCAAGAACACAATTTGGTGAAAAGAAATAAACACAATTCTTATATCAGATAATCCTAAATTCATCATTTCCATTAAAAAAAATGCAGATATAAGGATTTAATTCGGAAATGCAAGATGAAATACGGATATACGAATCAAACAATATCCAAACAAATTAACAAAGAACATAAATAAAAATAAATCAATTATGGGTAAAATTTATTTCATACGCAGGTTCTCCATTGATAGCATCACAGATCTGACGTCATTGCCCAATCGGAGCCGATCAAGAGATCGCTCGTCGCCCGATGGCCCCGATCAACCAACGGACAAGGCATTGCTCAGAGCAAGAACAAATCCAAGCCCGCCGGTGACCAAATCGAGATCAATTTCGTCCAAATGATTAAGAAAACCTAAAGAGAGAGGGTAAAGCGATAAAAAAGAAATTAATTGAATTCTTTTGCTCGAACGCTTAAATTATGGGTGTAGAGGAGAAGGAAAAACCGCAGTAGAGACAGGGGAGCAGTTGGCTTAGGCGTGGGAGTTAAGAACCAAAGTTTCTATAAAAAAAATTTATTTTTAAAAATAACATGATTGGTACAAATCAGATTTACTGTTCATTCGTTGTTCTCCTTTAGTTAAAAGAAGTAGTAGATTACCCCGTGTGACCGTGTCGTATATATATATATATACACACACACACACAAGTATAGAAGGGTGATGTGTGCTCTCATAACCGATGTGAAACTAAACCTAATATCAACAGCCTCACTCAAACTCATGTTGGATCAAACAAGTGAGTTTGCGTACAAGAAACTAGAATCGATGAACAAATAAGGCATTCGTGAAGAAATCTGCAAGCTCATCGGCGGATGAGACATGATGAAGTTGAATTATCTTGTCATTGATAACTTGTTGACGAACAAAATGAGCGTTGATCTCAATGTGTTTGGTCCCCTCATGAAATACTGAATTACTGACAATCTGGATGACACTCTTATCACAATAGAGAAGAGTAGGAGTCGGAATATAAATACCAAAATCACTGAGAAGACGACGAAGATGAATAATCTCTTTAGCTGTTGTGGACATTACACGATACTCTGCCTCGATGCTGGAAATGGCAACAACATCTTATTTCTTACTTCGCCAGGAAATAAGGGAATCACTAATAAATATACAATAACCTGTGGTAGATTTCCTGATAGTTGGATCATCAGCCCAAACAGCATCAGAATATACACGAAGCTCTAAATCGGATGTAGCAGGATACAGAAGAGAGCGAGTGCTAGTGCCCCGGAGATACCGAAGAATCCGTAATAAGACATCATATTGTACAGAACGCGGGACATCAATAAATTGACTGACAATACCAATAGTATGAGAGATATTTGGTCGAGAGATGCACAAATAGACCAACTGACCAACAAGATATCGGTGTCGGGTAGGTTCAGATAGAGGCTCACCATCAGTAGAACGAAGTTTGATAATCTGTTGAAGTGGAGTATCGACAGTTGCATCGTTAGTTAGCTCAGCACGAGCTAGAATATCCGAGAGACACTTCTGTTGAGACAGTAGTACTTCCCGCGGGCCCTGAAAAATTTCTAAACCAAGAAAATAGCAAAGAGATCTAAGATCCTTCATGTGGAACTGTTATTGCAATTTAGATTTTGCTGTTAGTCATTTTGTTTTGATGATGATTTACAAACACCATTATTGGTGCTAATTGATTGTTGAGCTATATTGTGTAGATTACAATTTATCAAGCTTGTTAGCACTATTGTTGGAGGATTGGATGGAACAACTGTTGCGCGCAACGAAAATTTCGACAACACTTCGACAGCACAACAAAAGAGTCAGGTCACAATAAGAATTCCTATTTCACAAAGGAAATAATAATCTTAAGCAAAATATCTCAACCAAGTGAGATATCAGCTCTTCCTCTCATAAGTTCTAGGACCGGCCTGTCGAGGGAATCTAAAGAAATTATTACAAATCACACAAATAGTGAGACAACTAATTTTACGTGGTTCGGCAAATTGCCTACGTCCACGGGGAGAGGATGGGAAGATTTTACTAAATCAATGAGAGTACAAAGGGTTACAATCTCACAAAACTCACAAACTAACCCTCAACCAAAGCTCTCAACTTGCTCACAATATCTCCCTCTTACAATGCTCAAAAGTCTCTCTAATCTCTGATTACAACTCTCCTCTCTTTTGATGATTGATTCTAATCCCCATATATATAGAAAAACTAAAACCAAAACAGACTAGGAATCCTAAAATCAAAAACAAAACAAATTAGGAATCATAATAACCTCATGTTACCAAAATAGATTAGGAATCCTAATAATCTCATGTTACCAAAATAGATTAGGAATCCTAATAATCTCATGTTACCAAAATAGATTAGGAATACTGATATCCAACAACAACAAGCTACAACGATGATATCTAAGGAGGTGGAGGCAAATTGGTGAAGCAAAGCTTTCAAAGAACACAACATACAAGAGAAACTTCATCAACATAGAAGCAAATATCAAGACTCAAGCTATGTACTTATATGTGAGGGATATTTACATTTTTATTTCTCTCTAGTGCTTAATGTAGGCAAGTAGTATGATAGATTACATTTAAAGTTCTTGGGATAAAACACTCACACATTTTCAAAACTCATATTTTGACATTTTTGCTAAACATTAAGTTTTCACAAATACAAGGTCCTTTTTGCAAAATTTCTTTTTAAACAAGTTTGTTATTATATTTGAAAACTTTTTCCAAAGTTTTATATTTTTAGAATTTATTTATTATTTTTTAAAGGCCCTGGAAATTCGTTTTTAAAAATCAAAACAGGCTAAAAATCTGTTATCAATCGACTGATGCAAAGGATCAGTCGACTGAAGAATTTGGCCAGAATCATCAAAAGTTTAGGTTTCTGTGACTGATGTTCTATCAGTCAACTGATGACCCTTCAATCGACTGATGAGCTCTTCAGTCGACCGACGAGCTGCAAACTGCTTACGACGGTCAGCTCATCAGTCGACTGATGAGCTCTTCAGTCGACCGACGAGCTGCAAACTGCTAATGACGGTTAGCTCATCAGTCAACTGATGAACCCCGACAGTCGACTGATAAGCTTCCAATGGCTACAATTTCTAGATTTCTCAGTTTTTGAAAGTTTTTGTCTGTTTCTTTGGGGTTTGGCTGTTCTCTTGAATGCTTATAAATACCCAGCAACCCCATTCACTTCAGTAACCAAGCAAGCATTTAAAATCTCTTGAGTTTGTGTTTATTGTTTAAAAAGAGCTTTAACTTTTAATTGTTTTCACACTTACAAATCCCACATCCCAAGCTTCAATTGCAATCTATTCATCTTGCCATAGGGCTGTTGTAAGATAGCTTCTTTTCTTTCGTTTGTAATTTGTGGAGAGCTTGATCTCATGGAGATCTACTGTGTGGTTGTGAGATCTCAAGAGGAGATCATTGTGAAGAAGTTACGGCTTCCAAACAGGGTTATGATAGTGAAATTATCCTTGAGAGTGGGGAGCAGGGACGTAGGTCGGAGGACCTAACCTCGTGAATATATCACGTGTCATAATTGGCTAACTATTCCCTAACTTATCTCATTTATATTGTTTTAGCATTTAAATTTTATGGTGTATTACATTGTCGTTTTTAATTGTACTTTTATTACCTCATAACCCTATTCACTCCCCCCTCTAGGGTATTATAATTGGTATCAGAACAAGGTCTCTATACATTTTTAGATTTAACCACCTTAGAGGAAAGATCCAATGGAGGCTTCTTTGAATGTGCATATGCTTGAGGGATAATCCACCACTAGACCCTCACTTTTCACCGGTAGAAACTTTGCTTATTGAAAGGCTAGAATGAGGATTTATCTATGATGCATTGACCTTGATATCTAGACATTATAGAGAAGAAATATTTGAGAAGCCTAGTATTAGTAGTAGTATGACTGATGGTGAGAGGCAAGCAAACCTTAATATAAAAGCCATGAATGCATTATTTGTGGACTTACCCCTAATGAATATAATAGGGTTTTTACATGTGCAAACGCACACGAAATTTGGGAAAAATTGTATATCACTCATGAAGGAACCCCCAAGTTAAGGAATCCAAAATTAGTGACTCATGTGTGATTATGAATTGTTTAAAATGCTTCCAAATGAATCTATTGATACTATGTTTTCTTGGTTTACTAATATCATAAATGAATTGCACGGCCTTGATAAGGTGTTGACGAACCAAGAGATGAACTACAAAATTCTTCGTTCTTTGACGCCGGTTTGAGAGTCGTTCTTTGACGCCGGTTTGAGAGCCCAAAGCTACGGCCATCGAGGAAGCTCATGATTTTACAACACTTTCTCTTGATGGTCTCATTGACAAGCTCAAGGTCCATGAGAAGAAGATCAAGGAGAAGGAGGAAGTGCCCCCAAAGGCAACCGAGGAGCCATCTTAAAAATTGAAGACCATTGCGCTCAAAGGAGCAATTGATGACTCATCCTCCTTGGATAATAAAGTTGATATCTCTAGAGAAGTGGCACCTCTCTAGAAGAATATCAAGATTAATTAAAATGAATAAAAATTTTAAAAATCGATCTAACAACAAGTTTTCCTCTCGTGTAGGTAAATATTTCGAATGCAATGAACCGGGACACAATGCAAAGGATTGTCCCAAAGTAAAGGAAAAATACTTAAAGTATAAGAAAAAGAAGGCTATGTACGCCGGATAAGATGAATCTGAACCAAGTGGTTCGGATAGCGATGACGAGGGCGCCCAGATTACTCTTCATGACCCAAACATTTGTTTCATGGCTCATGAAGATTAGGTACAATCCGAAACCGAAAGTGAATCTCTTTATATGCAATGTGAACTAGAAGATGCTTTAGAAGAATTAAACATTGAATTTAAAAGATTAGCAAAAGAATATTCTTCTTTCAAAAATTACATGGTTCTTGTGACTCTAAGTTTAAGAAACTACAATCCTCTCTTGCTCTAAAAGATGAAATAACAGGAGATCTAGACATTGAAAATAAACAACTAAGGTCTAAAATTGAGAGGTTAGAAATTAAAAATAATAGAATTAAATCTTATCATGCTTACTCTAGTCATAATCATATAAATAGAAAATGGAATCACAAATCTCATACACCCACTTACAAGAAAAATTTTGTGTGTACATATTGCATGAAATATGATCACATTTCCACACATTATAGACTTATAGATAATGCTTATTATTATGGGTTAATGTGGGTACCTAAAGGTACAAAGATATAAACATTCAAGGACCCAAAGTTTGGGTACCTAAAGGTTCTACAACTTATTTACATATAGGTAACATCTCGCATAAGACGTAAGGAGTTGTGGTACCTTAATAGTGGTTGCTCATATCACATGATGGGCAACAAGGAATATTTACAATCCTATCAAGGATTGAAGGAGGCAATGTCTCCTTTGGTGACGGCGAGAAAGATAAAATTATAG